TTGCCATGGTTTGCCCTTGGAACGCATCGTGGGCAAGTCTGAAGGCAATGCGAAAGGGAAACCCAGTTCTTAGGCAGCTCAGCGAGCCAGAACAAATTGGTAGGTTATCTTATCTTAGCATGAAATTTGTAGATCCCGGCTTCTGGTCCCATGCAGACGTTTTTTTTCACCCATGCCAGTGCAGTCCATGCATGCCATTTCATGTTCAGGCTCCCTGTGGATGTTGACAACACTCGTCTTGTCTACTTACTAGACCGATATAGGCCAGGCCATCACCCTGAAACCACCACTGTTACATTGGGCTTCTCCCGCGAGGTGGTTCAGAAGAAAGCCAGCACCGATCACCAGCGGCAGCGCCAGAAGGTCATCGCGTCCGGTCGACGGTCGACCGAAACGTGACGCGACGCGTGACGCAGCTGCGTGGCAAGTTATGGCTCTCAGTGGGGCAATAGCTTGAACTGACTATGTATGCGCACCAATCGGTGGTGTTTTTCTCAGTTCTGGCCACTTCCGGGGCTTTTTTTCACCACGGAGTCGTGCATTTTGTGGATGAATCAGATGGGCTTGGATCTCCACTGCTTTCAAGACACACTCACCTCAGCCTCAGGATGTATAACACAAGGGTTGCAGAAGCACATTGGATCAACAGTTCAACCTCAGCAAATCCCAAAACCAACAAATGACGTCACTTGCACTCCCCGAAACGTAGTCACCACCCGTCAGAGGAAATCTTCATCTCCCAACCTAGTCCATCCTAGTCCTGTTGTTCTAGCCATGCCATGATGTCAATGCCATTCTGCACATGCCAAGCCTCTTCCCTTGCACTTCCGAAATCACCCCACATCATCTGCCAGGAGCGCGTTAAGGCCGCCAAAGAGAAGCGCCGCGGCAAGGCCGCCGGCGCCGCCGCCGACGAGCCGCCTCCACCGGCGCCGCAAGTGCCGCGCTTCGGGGAGGTGGTGCAGCGTCCGCCCAGCTTCGGGAAGGATTGAGGGGGTTTGGGAAGGGATCCCACCAGCTGGAAGAGTGCAGCTGGGAGTTCTGGTGACACCTCTGAACTGCATTCAAGTGCTCCTTTTTCAAAGGACGGATGGTCCACTGATGAATCTTCTTCTCCAGTTTCTTCTCCCTGTTGGAGACCATCAGCGGCGCCCCCCGTGTGCTGTCAGTGTGGCAAGCACCCCTCGCGCCTGAGGAGACGTTGAAATCTTTTGCGAAGCTGCAGCCGACTAAGACCAAACCCATCTCTGGAAGTTTGTCCGACTATGCCAACAAGGTCAGGATTGCCTTGATTCATTTTTTGAGTCTTCCCCCTGTAGAGGAAGTGATAGGAAGAGAATGTCCCAATATTAAGCGCCTGGTATGACATAACTGGTATCATTCATATACCTTCTCTTAAATCGTCGGTCTTCCAAGGACGATCCTTGGGTTGGGACCTTCCCTGGGTGTGTGGCGTTGTTCTGCTTATTCTCGTGTTTTTTTTATTTGATTTGGGCCATGTCGATCATTCATCATCCGATGATCGGCCCGGGTATACCGCGCTTTGGGGAGGTGCGTGATGCATATGAGGAGGTGAAGAAGATCCTTGGAATCCAAGGAGCTTGGAACCAACAGGTCATCAGTTGGGAAGTTAGGCTCGAAACAGCCACCTAGGAGACCTGGGAGTGCTGCTATGGACGCTACAATTCACGGGTTTCTTGTTTCAAAAACCGGAAGCGCCATTGGGTTGTGAGCAGAAGGAATTTGGCAAACTGACTCCTTTGTCATGCAGTTCAGTTCCTCCAAAGGTTTGTATGGACTTGCTGTGCCTGGTGCCGTGCAAAATCAAAACAGAGGCAGCACGATACAGCATGGAACTGCTCTTGGAACATACAACACCCCAGCATCACTGCAACTAACCCCTACGACCTATACGACCCCTGTCGCCGGTCCGAGTGACTCGCGACCCTCTTTTCATCGCCCCCGGTCACTCAGGAAGCGTCGAGCCCAAGCGGCCAGCGCGGCCGCTGGCGCCAAACGAACGGCGGGCTCCAAGAAGTGATTGGAAAAGCACGAGCGGAACAGTCCGACCATGTCCGACCGGCGAATGAGCTGAGGGAAGTGATGATGGACATCTAGGTGGAAGAACAGCCGAACGGCCGTGGAAGCGCGTTTTCTTTGTCTTGCAAGAAGCATGAAGAAGATACCTTTGTGATCCTTTGTCGTGTAAAATTGTTATATACGCTGCATGATGTGGCATGTTTATGCATGTTTCTTCTGTGGATGCAAGTGAGTCTACAACCTTGCATTGGACGTGTCTTGTTTGCAGTTGTACTGCAGAAGTAGACGTTGCAACGCCTTGCAACTGCTTCCTCCCATTGCCCATCCAGTTAGGCTGCCTGTCACGCCTGTCTCCTGGACTTTCCGAAGACCGGGAAGTTCATCAACCGAGAGATTCATCTCTGGTGTCCTGACATGTCCTGACAAAAGTCTGGGTCGAGACACACTTCCACACCATTCTCAAAAATACAAATTCCAATTAACCAAGCGGGTCAGGTGCTTGTCCAGGTCTTTTTGGCCGAAACTATGTGGGTCAGCGGTTCCAAGTTGCACTATACTAATTGTCCTCCTCAACGCATGACTCGACCGCGTGGCCGTCAAACGCCCGTGTTTTTCCTTCGAAAGCAATCCGCGGGAAGATGGCCGCGCTGCATTTCAACGTGGTCAGTGCTTGCGCAGAAAATGTAGCGTGACTTCCTGCCCCTGCCGTCCAGACATTTGTAATCATGTAATATCATGTAGATGTGTTTTTGCCAAGCTTGCGATGGTTTAAGTAGGATTTGGGAGCCTTTAACTTGAGAAGTTTAGTGGGTCACTGGTTCAGATCGCAGATCAGGTTTAAGAATCGATAATCTAACTGAAATTGATGCGTGGTTTTTATTTGTAAGGCCCCTGGAAGCGCGACAGCATCAACCTCCGGCTCGCCCAGCTCACCCCGCCAGAATGACCAATGGGTGCCCTGGGAGGAGCTGGCAAAGCCGCTGGGTGCCCAGATTCTTTTTGTTCATGACCCTGCAGCAACTTGGTTTGCTCACTTTCGCACCTTCAGAACCCCTGGTTGGCAGTTACAGACCGGGAAAACACTGGGCACAGATCTTGCAATCATGATATTGGAGGGCTAACTGACCCCTTTGGGATTGAGACTCCGCGATGTGTTTTCCAAGATGGGTCCATTCCCAGCAATTTGAAGACGTAACGCAAAACTAACAATCAACAAAGAAGCAGAAGCGGGGAACCCAGAAACTCCATATGTGTCGAGAGCCACCCAACAAGCCAACCATTCTCAGGTCGATCGAAGCTGCGGCTGAGCGTTGGCGTGGGCTGCAGCTGCGGACTGTGACGGGCGACTTGGCTGGATGAGACGTTCCATCACAGCGTGGAAAGGGATCTCAAATGATGGCGTCATTGGAAGAGAGTTAGAGATACCTTGCGACCGGCAAACTAGAGCTAGAAGGATGCAGAAAAGGGTGGCATGTAGGCAGGGTGAGATGTTTGCTCCAGGTAGTGTCACAGAAGCTAGGTTAGTGGTCATGGCACTGAAGCAATGAATTGCATATATATACAACTTTGGTCATTCATGGTCATTCTAATTGTCAGCCCCTGCCAAGCCAAAGAAATGTAAAAGTGAAACAAGTGCGAAGCCTAACATCTGCCACTTGACATCAACTCTGACCACATGCCGTCATAGATGCATGCCTACAGTGTAGTTGCAAGAGATTCCAAACAATTGGTCAGCCAGATGATTCTTTTAAGTGTGGTTGAGGTCGTGGACATGTTATTGAGACTGGGCTGAAGAAAGGGTGGGGGAGGGGATGCGATTGGAACACCAGTGACTCAATAGCTTGTGGCAGGTTGCTTCCTGGTGTTGATGTAGGATCAACTGAGATATGTGTTGTTGATCCGTGCGAAAGAGAGGATGGCAGCCAATCAATGCTGTTTCCAGCTGTTTCCCCATATTCAGTAATATTCAGATATATTATATATTCAGTAGGAGCACCTGATGAGCCTGACACCCAAGCCATGAAGATCAGATGATATGAGTCCTTTCAAGGTTGTGTATATATATATATATTATATCATATATATATATGTATGTTGTGTATATTTTGTGGCTGCTATATTGTATTGTATATGTAGAACAGGCATTTCCATCATAGTGTCTATTCTATCATGTATGTATAAGCAGGACTGAACAAAGGACCATCTAGTTGGCACTTCCGGTTCCTGCGTTCCTATGATCAGAAACCGGAGGGAAGAAGAGACTCTGACCCTGGGAGGATTGGAGGCGACAGGACACGGGTCCCCGGTCCTTCTTCACTGTGTTTTTGGTAGCGAGGAACAATGGGAGGGCGACCTGCTGAATGAGTTCATGCATTCCTATGCCAAAGAGGCATATGATTAGATTTGCTGGTTTTCGGAGCTGCATGGATCATCGAAGCTAGGAAAGAAAAGGCCGTGACCACGGCTCCGTGACCTTGTTCGATCGAATCATACTCATTTCTGCCATGTGCTGGTGATGAACACGGTGAGTATGGAAAGCATGGCCCTTTTGTGCTGGGATTCTTTTTTCTCGGACCCTGGGATGTATTTTTTGGACTTCGTTTTGGACGTGTTTCATGCATGGACGTCATTTTGGGCTCTTCATCTTGGTGTGTTTGTTACACCTCGTCCTTTGACCTTCCTTTTGACCACAGCATTGTGCTGTGGATGATTCCATTTTGCGAAGTATGTTTTCTTTGATGCTTGCATTCAGAATGCCACCATGACAACGAACTTGAACTTCATGCAATCTTCATGCTCAGCCGGAGAAGGGGCTCAAAGATCTCAAAGGACCAAATCGGTAAGTTTACGGCTGCCCCCAAGCCCAACTATATATTTATAGACTGTATGGCAGCAATTCACGCCACAATGAATATAGAAAGACAAAGTAGCCAATCAAAGAACCATTCTGAACCCAGTCGAAACCAGGATCTTTGGAACAACATTTCCCGCTCGCCCAAGCGGGCAGTTTCATCCATGGCGGGAGAAATCAAAGTTCGACTTCAGCATCACAAAGACAGGTGGGGGTCGAACGATCCACCCGCTGAGAACCCGTTTTGATCTTTGCTGCTTCCACCCACCACGACAGGTGCTTCTTTTTTGGACGTGGGGATATGCATCCCACGGGCTTTGGTACAGAACGCCGGTGTTTGGGAAGTCTAGGATCAGAGATTCGCCCCGCATTTAGATTCCGGACGCATCACTACTACACAACGAGTGCCTGCAAAAGGTAAAGGGGTCATGCATCGAACAGGTCGGTTTAAGTTGGTTTGATCTGAAGAACATGCAAGGATCAGACGAACGAGACATGATGGATTTGGAGCTTCTTTAATTTCATTCGCGTAAGGATTCGCAGTCAACCCCCATGGGAGCATGGTGAAGTGTCTTTGTCCCGTTCCTTTTGTCACGTGAGAGTCCTGAAAGTTGAATTTGTAGACACGCTACCTGATGCTGTCCCATGCCATTCAAGTATTTGGTACCTTGTGAATCTTCTGAGAAATTGTTTTGCAACTTTCCTACGAGTTGAGAACCCTGGGACTTGTTGCATTCTTGCAGGTTTGAGGTGACCTTGCCCGCCACCAGCCGAGTGCTGCTCGGCACTCTTGGAGGTTTTGAGACTCCAGAGGTTTGCGGATCGGAATCAGATGTGGAATCGTCTTTCCTGTCACGCCTGTCATCTCTCTTGTAATAAAGGGTTGGAGGATGTTGGAGGGCTTGGATTCCGGATGGTGTGCGACACCAGACATCATCCGGTCACACAGCCAGCCATCGTAAAAGGGCAGAAGTCGACCAAAAAAAAGTCGCGAAACCCACCCGTTGGGGGACACCGGTCAGCACCACATGACGGAGGCCCAGCTCGGTTGGACTCAGCGCGACTGGTCAGGTCAGCGCTCAAACAGGAGGCCTCGCGCTTGACCTCGGTCGAGCCGGGACGGCCGGGGTGCCCATCTGATGTGCCTTTTGGATCCTCTTGGGGTGTTCGCAAGAAGTGATACACTCATGATCACTCATACATGTTTATATTTGTTATACTTTAATTCTATTAATATGTAATTAGCATTAATTATATTAGTATGTATATTGTACATAGTCGTATAGTATTATATTTATCGGTATGTGCACAAGTGCAAATCCCACCTGACCTTGATCATATTGGGCGGCACTAACCTCCAAGCGGTCAAGTCTGAAGGCTTTCTGACATGCCAGAGATTTGGATGATTGGCCCATTTGTTCCTGGGTCTGGGTGCACATCAGGGAGCATGTGAATGCGTTGGTGTGGTCACCACGACAAAAGCTTCTTCAGGATGCAGAGTCAGAAGTCAACCGATGTTTGTCTTGGTTCATTGATAAAGTCAGAAACTTAATGGAATTTTTGCATTTGTCCATCCAGATGTGGGAAGTGTCTAGTATACAAGTTGTTTGGTCTTATGGCGTATGCAGATTCTTTCGGAAGCAGGTCAGAACTTCTTGAGCCCAGCTACTACCTTCATGGAAGAATGCAATTGTTGCGCAATCGTTGGTTGACATGTTGTTCCTATAATATGCTTTTTGCCACCCACACTCTTCAGAATCCACGCGAAATACGGCTCTGTGACTCAGGCAACGGCTGATTTGTCGCGGGAAGGCCATGGGAGTTTTTCCCATTTACGACCTTCTTCAGATGCACAATACACTGAGCTGGCTGGAGGTGAGCCACAGCTGCACAAGCACCAGATAGTTATATAGATTGATGATGATTGATGTTCATGATGAATATGGGAGAATCTTCCGTAAGCACCTGCTGTATATACACACATATATATATATATACATATTTTATGGTTCCAGTGTTTCAGACCCCGCGCGCCCTTCATCCAAGCGCCCCAATGAGCGCCCGTCGGACCGGCAGGTGCTGGACGGCTCCCTGGAGCTTCAGACGCTGCTTCCGAAGGCGCGGCCGGCGCTGTCGGTGGATGAGGAAGAAGGAAGATCTGGGAGATACCGAAGCTGATGAAGGATATAGGGACTCATATGGAAGATGGAATCTCGGATTTACATACGTTTACGCTATAGCTGTGTTTATCATTCTTTATCTACATATGCCATCCAGATCGAAGTCCATCACGGGTTCCCAGCCATGGTGATTGGCCTGCTCATCGCGTCATGCGGTCAGGCAGGTGCTGAGCTCACAGTGATGCTAATGCCCATGGAATCCAGTGGCGACCAGGCGAGACCGAGATGGGAGGCATCGGAGAAAGATCTAAGGTACGGATGGGTTACATGGATACATACATGGTTCCAAACTCAGACTGTCCAATTCCCATAAGATAGGATTAAACAAATAATAGGAGTATCATTCTAAGTGGCTTTGCTCCAGCTGACCCGAGCTCCAGCTTGCCTCAAGCGTGTGCGCGAGGCCAGAAGGACCTGGCAGCACTACCAGCGGGTGCTACTCGCATGGCTCAGGAGCATTTGGGTTCCTCGGCACAGGGCAACGCGCTGCTCCACATGCGCGTTGCACCTGCACGTGGGCGGCTTGCCGTGTGTGAGGCCTTCATGTACAGTTTCTTCCATTCGCTCCTAGTGCGGACCTCAGCTGATTCAGAGTTTGTTCAGATTGCCACCAACAGCTCAATACTTCCAATTTCGTCTACGGGTGGTAGACGAATCGTTTTGGAGGCTTTTTGCATCTTAAAGTCGGAACCCACAATCACCAACCTACCAATTCTCGGTGGTTGCCACTAAATAGAGTGTTGACCCTTCAAGAAGCATGCCATGATCTGTCCAAGCTTCCAAGACGGGATCGTGGGATGCTATTGAGGTGTGGCTCCCCTATTTAGCACCAGCGATCCTCTGAAACAATCCATAACGAATTCAATGATGTATAGTAAGTATGATTGCATTGTATTGTACATCATTCATTAAGTTTAGTAAATATATACGAAATATATACGAATTATAGGACAGTGTATAGATAAACAGTTTGTAAACTATATATATATAGTAATAGTATTATGGCTCCACGGCTTTCAAGACTTGTTCAAGACACAGTGTTGTCTAATTCCAGAGCTATCATACCGATGGTCACCACGCTATAGTGTTGCTCCTCAGCCCTTTTCAGCCATCCCTGAGGTACCAAGCGCCTATGCGCCGTCCAAAGCTCACAAGGCCTTAGGGAAGCGACTGCGAGGTCCCTTCATTCATGATGCATTTTTCAGGGACGAAGTCCTGGGGAGTTTTGGAAGATGAAAGACTTCCAATATAGTAATACAGTACATGGGGGGTGAAGGGGCGACATGCTGGTCCAGACTGTGTCTTGCCCAAAGAGCCAGGCGGATTGCCTGCAGTCTACAGTATGAGACGATGGTAGAAGAAGTACCGATTAGGAAGGGTCCGGAGAGGAACAGGATCACAGATGCCAAACTGGGGAACTGTCTTGGATATTGTACCCCTTCTTGCTCGGCTAAAGAATTGTTTAAAGTTTTGTGCTCAAAGCTCCTTCGATAGTCCTGAACATGGTTGAACTGTTCAACCGTGCTTTTTAAAACGTTCAAAGAATTACTGGGACTTAATCAGCCTTGTTTCAATCAGAGGCCTTGAGCCAAACCAAAACAAGACCAGTAAGGAAGGTTTTATCAATAAATACCTGCAGTGCAGTCTGCAGTGCTGGTGTAGATTTAGTTCATTGTCTACTCTTTAGGCGTTTCATGCCTCATTGCCTACAAGATCCTCACCAAACTCATGAGTTTGGAGCTTGCAACTGGTTCCAAACATCATCCAGCGCGCGCAAGGAGCACCACACGGATGGCATCGATCCCACTGACCTGGCGCGTTTGGCAGCGTGTGGTGCTGGCGGCTGAGGTTAAGCAGGTCGCCTAGGCGTGGGTGCCATGTGTCGTTGAATAGATGGTATTGGCGACTTGGGAGGTGGACTGGCAGGCACTTTGGTATTGAAGATGGGATGTTTGGTGGATTTGTTTGGGAGAGAGAGATATATATATATAGAGATATCGATCGTCAGTCAATGAAAGAGTTGGAGGTTCGTATTGTGAACATGATACTCCTCCCACTCAACATCGGGTGGGGAAAGGGAGCTCCCGTTTCTCGAGAAGAGCATCGGTGTCCAGAGACATTTTGGAAGAATCTTTGCTCCTGGTTAGATGACATCTCATCACCTCAAGACATACAAGACACAGATCAAAAGACATATGATGACATATGGATTATGCTGAAAGAGCACGCTCAAGAATGCACTCCGAAGTGGAACCACACCCATTCCACCACACGTGTGCCGAGAGCATACCATAACATGCCCATCGCATGTCCAGCCACTGGGAGGCCCCGGTGCCTGGGCGATCCCTCGCTGAGTTTCCGCAAAGCGTGCGAGTCACCAGTGGCCCAGACAAGCACAGACAAAGCGCATCAAACAAAGTTTGCAACAAAACGGACCGTTTTTCTCGGAGCAGTCCCAAACAAAAAACACCTGAGATGAGAGATGTTTTTGTTGCAATAACCGATGTTGACTAGTTCCTTCAAAATGCAGCCGATGCATTTGCCATCGCTTCAGATCTCCACGTAGAGTTGTTCAACTCCTGGGCACACTGCGCGAACACGCTGGCAGCAGAATGTTGTTAGCTCTCCCCGACTGCGGATGACTTGTCACCATGTGGCCAACACTCATTTCAGAAGGAAGATCTGCAAAAATTATTCGGCCTGATTTTGGTTTGCGGTATGGTGCGCTACCTGCTGAGAAGCCACCTTACCTTCTGATACGCATCCGAATCGATGGGAAGTGATCACTCTGTTTTCGTATTGGCCATGCGGTTGGTTGGCAGGCCGGTTTTTGGTGGCAAGGATGGCAGGCGGAAGACGGGGCTTGAGTGCAAGTTTGGTGATTGGGGCTGCCTTTTTCCAAATACAGGTCCAGTAGACATGTGGGGAAGTGATGTTCATGGCTCATGACTCACCCTTCTTCAGTAGCAAGGGCATGCAAGAGCAATGCGCAGCTCCAAGCAGACCAATGTGACGATCACATCATGAGATGCCTGGCTGGGGCCAAAAAAAGAGAGCAACGTTGGGGGAGCATATCGCATTGCTGTTGTGATATGGCCGCGCGCTTCATGGCAGATATGCAAGTGATGCTGGTTGCCTCGTTTAGCACTACTGACACAATCGGTGGCAAGGAACCAGGTATGGATGGCAACAATCTGCATGCTTAGAGAATGGGTGATCACTTCTCCATGCATGGGCCCGGCCCTTGCAATCGCTGCTACTGCGCGCCTGAAGCCTACTACTAGACGCGCATGCCAATAACACACAAGGGGTCCCTGTAGCCGAAGTTCCAGCACTTAGCCCACGCAACACTGAGTGCAATGCCTGGCAAACTTTTGTTGGACATTTTTGTTGGACATTTGCACCTTCATAAGCCTTAAGGCTTACAACAGACCAGGAGCATGGCCGCCATTGAATCAACAAACCTGCTGCGCCTGCTGTAATGGACCAAGTTTGCCAAAACAGGCAGTGTAGTCTGGAAAGTTTCTTTGGCATTGCGCGAGGGAAGTTGAACCAGAGAACAGGCAGACATAGAGAGCACGGATTGTTGCACATAAAGCGGGGGGCATCCCACAACATACCAAGTCTAGGAATGGCAATGTCCTGAAACGGGTTTCTGGAATGTGGGGTGCGCAATGCCTTGACTTCTACATATTCATGGGTGTAATAGGCCGCAATGGCTGAATTGCAGGCAGGGCATGTTTGTTTGGCCGGAGGTGTTGCCGTTGTCCTTGCGTTGCCGTTGCTACTGGAATAGTTGTGAGATGTTGTGAGCCATCATTTCCATCAAAACTAGATCGTTTACAAGCCAGTTGCTCACGTTCTTTCTGCCTGTGTTTGCCTATACGGGTCAGTTGCAGCTCGTTTCTTTGCTTGGCTTTGTGCCATGTCCGTCCCTGTCGCTCATTTGAAGGACATCGACCCCCCAACCAACCCACGACCAGGTGGCTCCTTACATGTGGATCCTAGCTCCTCGGCAGAAGTTCCCAGTTGTCCGCCGCGGTCGTGAGCAGATCAGGACCTGCTTTGAGCTATCCTACGTTGCAGTTGACCGAATGGAAAAGATATTAAAGATCGCGGTAGCAAAGGGAGGGGTGCAGCCTACGGGATTCTTTTTCTGCATGTGCTACTGGGTTCGGTGGTGATTACTGGTCTGTTGTATACGTTACGTTGGAGTATACTTCCAACACATTCCAATACCGTGGCTTTGCCAAGCCTTTTGCCGCTCATGTCAGACCTCCCCCAGCGGTTTTTTCCCAATCCCGCTAGGCCTTGCCAGGCTTCTCGCAGCCTGAGGTCCTCTTCTTTCTCAGCCTGCTTCAACCCACCGAACCGGTCCGAAATGCCTTGGATGGACCCACCCTGGAGCCTGGGCAGCCGGTGCAGCCAACGGTGCAGCCAACGGTGCAGCCAACGCAGCCGCCAAACCAAACAGAGGCGCAGGGCAATACCCCTAAGGAGTGTTGGGTTTGTGCATCCTTTCGTCACCGGGGGCAACAGTCCTTGTGGCAGCATACTGTTTTGCGGATGGGTCTTGCTAGCATGACACGAAGTGCAGCAGTACCCTCACAGTTGTGTTTAGTTTGTGGCCCTTAGCGTGCTGTTTGAACGGGGCTCCTATATGAAATGAAGACAACCATTTTCCATGGTTTTCAGTTGCAATGCGCAGCCCTGCTCGAATGTTGGAAGCTACGTGGTTTACTCCGAAGCAGGCATTGTTCTACACCACGCTTCATCGTTGGCATGCCGACCCCACAATACCCAGTTTCGTAGCGTTAAATGTTCGAGTCACGACCCTTAAGAAGATGACTGACTTCCTCCACGGAGTAGGAATGGCGCCCGAGCACAGTGACTGAAGTGGGCAAGTGTTCCATCAAGCTGGGCGACCACTTCGATGCCGCATCCAGCATACTCTTGTGCCTTGGTCAGACAAAACTTGGACATGGAAATGGCCAGTTGGCCGAGATTAGATATATAGTGTCTTCTTCCAATGAGGGCTCTGAGCTGCGAGCTCTGCCGCAGAAAGAGTTTTGCAGGGAAGTCTTCGTGTACTCCATGGCCACCGAAGTCTTTTTACTAGCAGCAGCAGCAGCAGTAGTAGCAGTAATAGGAGCAGTAGTAGCAGCAGCAGTAGTAGTAGTCGTCTCAAACCTGCTAGCTCCTTTAAGAACACAATTTTAATCAGTATCAACACCATATTGACCAGAATCCACTTTGAACACCCTTTTTCCGCATATGGCAAGATATCCCCTTTGCTACCGACAATCCAAAATGGGCGTTTGCTACTCAACAATGATTTATATGACTCGTTTAGTGTTAGTAAGAATAAATGCAATAACATGACTTCTGATCAATTTGAGCCGAGGAAGGTACAAGGTTTTCACGCTCAATCTATATTCTTGGCTGTCCGTCCATGTTTTAAACTACATTTGATATTTTTGATAGCTCATCAAAACTCTGTGTTTTAGCTATTCTTAACCGTTTAATGATTTTTAAGCATGCATCTAACCGACTACAACCAATTTTGTAATATATTTAGACAACTTTTGACTAACATGAGCGTGCTTGACCTCTCTGCTCGGTAGCAACTAGGGTTGCAAAATCAACTTTCCTCCAAAAAGCATCAGTATTGCCTACATGTTTACTGATTCCGATTCCTGCATTTGGGGGAATCGCTCATTTCCAGTTTCAATCCTACTCTATGTTCCTAGAATGTTGGGCATAATATGGAAGGGGTTCCTCCAACTGTAGGAGGACCCAGCCGCCGAAACCTGCAGCACATTGCCTTTAAAGCACATTAAAGAATCACATATGTCCAATTAAATAGTATACCGTATATAGATCGTCAGAATGTTCTCACTTCTCCATTCATCAAAGCCAGGCCCTTAGACCTGGCCTGGCTTTCGGGCTCTGCGTTGATCGCCTTGGCCCTGATCCTTTGGACACCTGATGGGCTCTCCACTAGAGCAGTGGGTGCCCACGGAGAGGCGCCGATGGAGGAAGGCGCAGATGAAGGCGAAGGTGGGGAGCCAAGGAATTTGTGTGAGGTTAGCAGGGAATTGGCGAGGCGAGAATATGCGTTTGAAGAGGTTGTTGAACATTCCTTAATTACATAAATTTGATTTTGCTGTGTTCCTGAGTGGTTTTCGGTGTGCCAGACTTGACAGACGAGGTGGAGAGGATTCAAGGTCACCGGACTCCAAAGATGCACCTGAAAGCACCTCAGGTGGGATGGTGGGTCAGTGGGACCAGATGGTGGGGCCCAGCTTGAGATGAGGACCATGTCTTTCACAATTCCTCTCCCAGGTTCCATGCACCATCGGCACGGTTCCAGCGAAGGCAGACATGAAATAAAGGATCCCTTTATGACTCTTTATGAAGGTTCACGTGAGTGCAAAGTGGCCTACCTCACTGGATGGAGACATAGACAACTCCTCACTTTCAAGACTCTTTGTGACATTTGTGCGCCTTCTAATTAGTAGTGGGCCATTTCGTGGTTCACAGATGCATGCCCGTACATTGGACGTGCTGCTCATCGCGCCATGCTTTTGGTTTTAAAGGTCATGTGCATTAATCAGGAAGGTGGGATGGGCAATCAAAGATGTCGCAAAACTGCACGTGTTTGGAGTAACCCGACATCATCACAATCATCCTGTTAGAAACCAAGAGCCACCCATTAGTGGCTCCATATGGCCGCACATGAGTTAAAAGTTCCACTCTTGGGGGGCCCATAGTCAGTGAAGCTCTGTAAGTTACTACTTCCATCGAACTACCGTGAGGTGCGGAAACAGTTCAACGCCCGAAGCTCGAAGCCATCGGTTGGCATCGGGTGGCCTTTGACTCGATCACCAGCCATGCTGCGGGCGGCTGGGCAGCATCCGAGTGCGTTGAAGTATGGGTGGAAACATGAGATGAACATATTTGGGTTATATAGCTGTGGTCAAAGTTAAAGTACCAAGGTTGAAACAGGCCATGTGTAGATGTGGATGTGGAGGAACCTATAGGTGTGGTTGGTATGTCAGGATGACCCATATCCTTTGTTCCGGTTCTTTTGACACACCATTGACGTGTAGAAACAGGAAGAAACAGGAGCTCCTGTCAACATTTTGCACATGCCATGGATCGCGGCGATGTCACCGTGACGTGGCAACACACGCTTCAACTCGCGCTCACACACGAGTTGAGTGCCAGAAATCAGGAGGTTTTAATGAGTTCTGAAAGTCCAAGCTGAGAGAAGCTGCAGGAGTACCGGATTGGAACTTTTGGGGGGGAGGACAGGCGGCCAGCAGAAAGAAGTGTGTCTCCTGTTTCTTCGTCCGCTGTATCGAAGTGTCGTTGTTTGTTTGGCAAGGCATCGTCGGCTTCATTGGCTTTCAAAAGATTGTCGTGGCCAGGATTGTGGCGCTCAGCGACGCTCGGCCGGTGTGAGGCGACAGGCGATGCCCACATTCCCCTTGGTGCACGCAGTCATTCCTGGGGCATCCTGGGGCAATGAGACGCATTAGACTCCCTCAGAGTGACTAGCTTCGTTGGTTCCACTGTAGAGCTGGAATACTTTGAGCCTCCTCACACGGTTGTGACTGCACAGGAATCCAAAATGACTAGTTGATGTATGTTGATGTGATTCATTGGATGATTCTTCCGCGCCCAGGATGCATGCGATCTGTGGTCCATAGAGAACATTTTGCTCTACACTACCCTGGCACTGTCCGTGGTGGCAGTTTTTGCCAGCTTCGTGTGCCCAAGCAGCTCACACTGGCTGACCGTCAAGCCTTCTGTGATGATTGCATGTCTAGTTTGTATGTGTATACATATATATATATATATTCACAGCGTAACTTGAAGCAGCAACTGCAGGCTACAACTTGAAGGGGCACCTGTGTTGCCATGCTACAATATTCCACACGCTGGACCTTGGGACTCACACTCTCAAGGGCATTCAATGAACTTCACACCCCTGTAGCATTAAGAACCTGGGAAAGTGTCGTTTCTTTTGGCACTGTGTTTTCAGAAAGCATAGTGTTGGGAAGACAGAGGAAACTTGTAGAAGCATGCCGTAAGCTGTTTTTGTACTGTAAAAAACAATAAATAAACAATTAAGTAAAAGAATCAATATAATTCAGCGAATCAGCGATGGCTAACGCATCAACTTTCTAACCCGCTAAAGAAACCTTGTGTTCCTTCTACAACATTATATATGTTTTTCTATGTTTTTCTTGACGTTTTTAGAGGTTTTGGCTTCCCTGCACTGAACCCAAAGATGAAGAGGAGTTGATCCACCGTGAACTCACGTCCGCGCCGGAGGTTCCTGGGCGTGGACTATGCGCGGCGCTTGGCGATCTATGCGGCGCAGCGGAAGGGCTATCAGCTCACGATGAAGCCAAAGGATCTGAAAGAGACAGGTGGGGTGACTGGAGGGGAAGATGGGTGGAAGATGGAGAGGATGAAGGATGTGCAACCTGAACAAGCACTTCCAGTAAGGAATTGGTGGGTTTTTGGATGGAGTAATATATTCCTAAGTATATGTTTGGTGTTCAACAAGGCCCTCAGCTTTGGAACATTTTGCTTGGCAAAAGGTGGTCTCCAAGCTCCCAGCGGACTTTCTCAAGCAACTTTTAAGATCCTCGAGAGTCATGTAGTCATGTTGCTTACCACGCCAAACAAAATGCTTGAATGGGCCATGTAGTTCCAAAAAACCACTGCAATTGTTCTTTAATACGTTTCCAACTTGTGACAGAACATAGAAACCCGAACCGGACCATATCGGACTCTTCTGGGACAGTCTGCTTCCACCGGTCGCACATGAATGATGATACACTAACTTTACCTTTCTATCTTCTGTCCCCTTCAAAGTCAAAGGGATCTTGGATTCCCGCTGCTTCTCAGCTTCAATAGGATCTTGGATTTCCTCTACTTGTCACATTCTTCAGAGATCAGCAAAGGTCTTGGCATTGCCATCATCCTTCTTGGTTTGCTGATGCTGTTCCTCTATGGATGTGCCACCTGGACATGCCAAAAGGTTGTTTGGAACTCAACGTGTTTGGGAGATGCTGCTAAGATGCTTGGATTCAGGGGCTTCTTTGGGTCAAAGCTGAAGATTCTAGATGGGACGGCTCACCATGCACCAATCCATGGCCTTGCTAAAGGGACCAACCCTCCTGGTAGAGGGGAGCTGTCCTTTGGTCCCAGCCCCACACGTTAAGGCTGTCAATCATCGGTGTGCCGTGTATTGCAAATCCAAACGTGTTTGCAGGTGGTCAAAGAACCAAACGCACAACAAAGATCAATGTTTTTAAACACATTGGGGACTGTGTTCTTGTCGAATGAGTTATAAACAAACTCGCCTAGCGGGTTTGAGGGGGATCCACTCACCGAGTTTTTTGCCTGTGCTACATTCTTTGGAATGGTGTGTGATCTCAGATGCCGACCGACTGTACTGAAGACTAGCGGAACCTGACATCTGACAATGATAGATGATAAACTGGAAGTTTCTCTTCTCCTCTGAGAAGATGGCATGTTTTAGCTTCCGTGATTGTGTCTTTTCTGAGCAGCTCACACTCATTTTGCAGTCCCAGCAGCTCCGAGGTGATCGTCGAAGAAGCGGAAACCTCGGATGCGGAGCAGCAGGAGATGGTCATTGACAAGCGTTGGGTGGTCGTGGACATTGCCGCTTGACGGAGCTCTATGGGTTGGCGGGACACGCTTTTCCCGAAAGATGTCATGTTTGGAACTGGTTTGTTTCCCTGGATCAGGGTCTCAAATCTAATTGCAAGTTGTGAAATTGAACGTTCAGCTCAAGTGAGCTTTTTGTTCATATCTACCGACCCATCGCAGCACGTCAACCATGGGACCTCCTAATATCAGATTGGTGTTGGGATGTGTTGGGTGATGCCAGATGGATTTGGTCTTTGGTTAGCCATGCACTCACATTCTAGCATGTGTGGGAATTGTGGCGGTTTGCAGTCAGCTCAGGTTTGGGGGTTGGAGCATGAGCATGTTTCCCTGCTTGCGTAAAAACACAGCGGTCCTTCCGGCTGCCACTTCACCCGGTTCAAACGTTTTTGTTTTCTCCAGTCATGTTCGAGCAGTCCGCTGGTCAGAGAGTGAGTTGGTGAGTCCTGTTCAGATTTGGAGCTCAGGCCGCGGGTGGCATCGCATTGGCCCTGTTCTATTTCAACCTCCGCCGCTTGGAGTGGGAGAACGACCTGGCCCTTCCAATTGGGTGATTTTCAGCGAGCTGATCCAATTCCAGGCAATTAGGACCGGTGAAACAACCAGCTCTTGCAAACTAGCTCGAATTGCTCCTGTGGCAAGTCAATGTGTGGATCAATTGTTTTCCCCTGGGTAGGTGTTCTGAAGAAAGAATTCTTGTCTCTGGAAAAAGTCCAATGAAGGGGTTGGCGAAAGGACCACCTGGGAATATACAATCAGGTCACGTGGAGTACAAGGAACCGGACCCTGTGGCCGGCTCCATCCACACTGTGCAGAAAGTTCATGCAAAGTTCACCTGAATGAGAACAGCAGTGTTTTGTGGGCAGTTCTTTTTGAACTCCATTTACCGAGGAAAAGATAGATGGTGGAAACAGATGTGAACCACACCACTTCAGGTGGCCTGCACCGTTCACCCAAGATGCAGTTCGATGCAGCATGCCATGGAGAACACAAGCTGCTTGCCTGTGTTACACCGGACACGGCAGCACCCTGGGTGTGGGTGTGGGTCCGCAGACCTACAGGTCAATGACTCACTCACATTCTTTTGGGACATATTGTGTGCATAATCATATTAATATAGAGTCTAGACTCTAGACTTAGACTGACTGACTTAGGCTTGACCCTCAGATCGGTCAAGAAGTTTAGGTTGCCAACGAAAGAGCTCAAAGTCCTGATGCTGCAGAGCCCTGAATTTGGGGTCCCGTCCAGGTATGCACATTCCATTCTTGGGTTAGGCTTGAGAAGTCAGACCAACAAAATCCCACATTTGATCAATATCCAGCACTACTGGCCTTTGCATACGTACACTCTTGTATTTGCATCCTTGTCACTTTGTCACTGTTCCCAAGCAAGTTCCGAAACTACTGACTGACGCCTCCCCAGAGAGACCCTGGCCCAATTGATAAACTCTGGTTGATGACATTCTGCATGGTTTGGTGCCAACAGGGGCCGTTGGTTTGCTGTATATGGAGGTTGGAGAAAACGTCGCCAATTGAATCCTGGGATTGGTTGTTTTTGACATGGATGCACGATGTCGCATGTGTGTAGTCAGTATGGTGAGTTTATTTTGAGATGAGGGTATATTTGGTGTACTGTATCATATTTACTGTATCGTGGAAGTACTTTGCCAACGAGCATGTCCGACCAAGCAGCGGTGATGTCACTTCACCGAGGGGTGCTTGAGGAGCAGCATTCACATCTTCAACTTGAAGGTCTTTCGATGTGTAAGCAATGCACCTGGCTAGCCTGGCTGTGGCGGCAGGTTGAAGTTTGAGAGCACGTTTTCCCACGACAGAGGAGGTTTGCCACACATGTAGGGGCCAATACTCTTTCCAGTGTGTCCAACCTAGAAGTAAGAAACCGATGCTTGCACCAAAGCACATTCGGACCAGGTTGACTCTCGAGGAGTTCTTGGAAGGGGAATCTGGACAAGGCATGGCGACCAATGTGTCCGATTACGCTTCCTTGGCCGACTTCCTTCATTGGCTCGCAGGAGACATGGGAAAGAGAGAGGGAGAGAGAGAGAGAGGAGACACGGCATCTTTGGACTTCGTGCTGGATCAACCCTTTGTCGCGAGCCTTTTTCCAGACAGAATGACTTGCACAGATGCATCACTGATATAGGTTCACCGCATAGTTTGATGGCGCCCTTAATTGTACCACATGCGAAAGCAAGTTGTCCCAAACTTCAGGTCGTAAAGGTCCTTTGCGAATTCTACTGGGTGTGCTCATCGCCAGAGCTGTTGGAAGCCTTTGATCATCAATGTCCATGGCAAAAGGTTCTCAAGCTCATCTCAACTTGATAGGACTCTTGATAGGTCCAGCAATTCGTTTCAGATACTTGGTCTGTGTCTTTGTGAGTGATTGATGCCTGCTTACTGGTTAGGCTTCGAACAGGCAGTGCTATGCAAGTTGTCGCCATCAGGGTGGAATTGTCAGACCGTTAGATTTTAGTTTTGATGTATATATAATGTTGGACCCAAACTTTCATTGGTCGTGGCCCATCCCTACTACTGACCTTGCAGAGAAAGAGTCACTCGCACGCGGACCATGCCATGGTTGCAGGAAACTGTTGTAGTGAATATGGCATATCGGGCTTGAGAGCTCGAATGCTGGGCCCATTGAAAGAGCAAGATACAAGGTAGGTTTGGTTTTGTGGAATTTGTGTGCGTTTTGCGATCATAAACTTGGGGTAAGGTAAGGTCAGTTTAGAGAGAGAGAGAGAGGGCCAAACCAAGCATTGCAAAGCACTTGACACACAAAACACATGTAAGAAACACTAGTGTCGTTGGTATTTCTTGCCGGACTCAGACGGACCATCAATGCTATGGACGGACAATTGTTTCTGGCAGCTCAGACTGTTATGCAGGAGAAGATTTGGTCTTGCTGGCCTTCAAGGGCACTCGCCACGCGATTTTTCCACAACAACGTCGTGGACCTTTAGTGCATCTCGCCTTCGGCTGCCCTCCCTGACTGAAAGTCTCGGGGAGAATACTGTACTGTATCACTTTTCAGGTTTGTTTTAAGTCAATTGTTTGGCATGCAGTGATTTGATGCGATGATATTTAGTTATTCTGGACCTTTTTGCACCCTTTTGGCACTATATGCAACCAAAGCATGTTGCGCACGTGTGCACACTGGACACGGTGCGAGGCACGTGGTTTGTGGTGTCCTGGCGATTGGCGCCTTTCCACTCCTGGTGCAGCTGGGCGCTGAGCGGTTCTTTGGCTATCCCGACCTGGTGGAGTTGCCGCTGGGGCGCAGAAAAGGGACGGTTAGGATACTGTGATGGTTTTCAGATGTTTTCAGGGTGATATTTCTGGTAGAATTTGTTTGTTTGATTCATTTCGCGTCAGCGTTGATGGGCAAAGCGAAAGGCGGATGAGTGTGGAAACTCGATCTGTTGGAAGAACATGGAAGAACTGTTTGCTGAAGCCTAATTTACCTGCAGTATCCTACAGTTTTAGAAAGGAGCAATGCTTTTTTGAAGTATAACTTCTCGCGATCATACTGTGAGCTGATGAGGAAAAGCACCACTGGGACCATCGCAGAGATCGAACTCGATGGAGTGATGGAGAGACCCAGTGACCAAGAACGCAAGTGGAAGGAGTGTGAGTGAGACTCCCTTTTGGATGTTTAAATGCATGGTCAGAATATTTTTTAGAAAAAGACATCAGAAACGAATAATACAGGACAAGAAAGGATTTGTTCTATTTTTCCTCGCCAGTGTTTTTAATGGGTTCGGATATTAATGGATCTTCACTGGGCAACTCTTGGGAAGACCAGCTGTTTCCTGCTGGGTTTGGCAGGACGCACGCGATAGCCTACAGAGCTCGAGTGCCGACATGTTCAATTGTTTGTGTTCAGCTTATTCCTGATCTTTCTGAGCTATGATGGGTCAAAGGCAGTGTCAAAGACAGATCGACATAGAGGAATGTTGCGCAGATTGCCCTGGCTTGGGGCCAGTTCACCCCCTGAGGCTGGTCACTGCAGACTTTGCAGACGCTGGTGAACCCCAAGGCTCGGCGAAAGAAGTTTGTCTTCCTTGGCGATGAGATGGCGGCGAGACTCCAGGCTGCTCCCGGCCAAGCGTCATTCGCAGTGGATGGGTATGGCCTTACGAGGATCGATGCGGGATCTTAGAGTTGGCTGAGTGCCTCCCAACCAGGACACTCTGAATCCCAAGGGGCAATCATGTTTAGTCTCTTTGTTCAAGTCACCCCAATACATTGTAAACAAACAAGCAAACAAAAAGACAATCATAGTTTAGGACGCCCATTGGCGCATTTTCGAGGAGGTCATGTGGTAATGGGATGATGGGTGTCCTTGCTTCCGAGTTGAAGCAGTATGAGTGGGTCATGTCCAGATGGCGTCTCCAAGTACATGAAATTAATAGTTGAAGTCAAAGTACGGTCTTTGCCGCCTTAGCCATTACTGTACTTAGTTGGTGGGTTGGGGCCAGTTGGTAGTTGGTAGCATGGAATTCGGCAAATGAATAGACAGAACTGGACCCAATGTTTATCCTTGAGGGGCTGAAGGGGGCTGTTCCAAGATGTTGCAGGCTTTAGTTTGGACTGGGACTAGCACACCTAAGAAGACAATGATCATTACGGGAATGAAGACTCAATTGAGAAAGTACAGTATCTGAATTCGACAGCTGCTGTGTCCTGTGCTAGTTTCCGCAACTGAGAGGTGAGGACAACTTACCAGAAGACCTCGCCACTTGGCCTTCCCGCTGTCAGGGGTGTCTGGCGTGTCCTCTTAATGGCTTATTCATGAAACTACCTTCCCTAAGAAGGACCGGGGTGTCCAGGGTATCCTTACTAGTCAGGGGTGTCCGGGGTGTCCTTCTATTTATGGCGATCACTATGTGTCCCTTGTTGAGACCTTCCCCAACAACTGAGGACGGTTCAGCTTTGCTGCCGCAATGGAGAGATTGGACAGATTCCCTGTAGCAGTGGGAAGCTCAATCATCGCTTGATCAAGTAACTTGGATCAAGTGCAGATGAACTTTTCTGGTCCAATTGGCAGCGATTGGACCATGGACAATGGATGGCAGTCATGGCAGTGAAAATAATGCTGATTCACCCAGTTATAGATTTCAACTTCCCAACCAGTGCCTGATGAATTTGCAACCCGGGTCCCTGATATATATATATATATATGTATCTATATAGTCCCCAAGGAGACAACTAATGTACAGAATTGCAGGGGGACATGGTGTGCGTTCAGGGACCATGTCCAACGAAGCTACAATGTACCTGCAACCCAATTTGTAAGCCTCGCTGGTTGTCAACTGTTGACCACGCTGTTACCCTCCTCTTCTCGTAAAGTGCTAGTGCGTCGTCAAAAATTACTGTTGATACGGACTCCTTCACCTTGCTGTTCCTGCGAGTCAAGGTCTAATGTAATCAGCAACTAGTTCTCCGGAGTTTCCAAACTGACAGAGCTCTTGCGAGCATGGATCTAAGTGTGTGTGTGT